GGGTTTACCAAACCCGAAATATGGTCTCTAAGTGAATTAGACTTCAGTGACGTAGATTTTGATCTGATATCTGCCAATCCTTCACTTCTAGAACACATTTCTTGGTGGTTCCGCGAGAATCTACAGAAAAAACTATTAAGTCACCATTGATAACTTATAATGATGAACTACAAAGGTTTAATTTAGATGCTTGTGAACCAGATGCTTTGAATAATTCATCAATCCATCAAATAGTAGCTCCTTTGAAGAGGGTTTTGACACGAGAGGCAATTCGACCCTATCCGACTGTTGTGAGAAGTAATAAAACAAACAAAGGACGATGGTAAGGAAATACTGATACACCCGAAAAAAGCTAATTGAAGAGAAACACAATGAAAAGCAATTGAAAAAGCTAGAACAGAAAAGAAGGGCTAAGGCAAGACGAATGAAACGCAGCTTAGCTGATTCAATTTGAAAAAAAAGAACAGAAAAGTTAAAACAGAAATTGTTCAATCTGATTGTGATGGATCTGATATAAGCTTTCAAGAGAGTTCAACTTCTATCACAGATGAAGATGAAACCAAGCATGAAAATTTCGAAATGAACAGAAGTCAATTGACAGTTGATGATGTTGTACCAGATGGTTCGTTCATTTCAGTGAGATTCCTTAAGAAAAAAAAATATTTACTATGTAGGAAAAGTTGTCGGTCAATAGGTGCCTCGTTGGTGGGACAGATTCGTACAGAGAAAAAAGTGGTGTTACGTAGATGAAAAGTTAAGACTTTTATGACATATGTTCATATGATTTTTTTTTCTGAAAACGGCCTAATTGGGAAATACACACTACTGACCATAATGAACCATTTTGTCCATCTCATCAAATCCACATACTTTGCTTTCAACAGTTACTCGAAAAATTATATATTACTGATGAAACATTCTTTTTGATTATTATATCTACCTTAAGTATTCCTTTTTAGATGCCTGTTAAGAGCCAGTGAGTAGACACATTTTCTTTCGCGAGGCTTATAAAAATTCTTCTACTACTTAATTAATGAAAGCTTGAGTAGCTTTTCGTCGAGATGAGACAAAAGTTGATTATTCATTCTGTAATAACTTCTTCTCTTTGTTGAAATAGGTGAGTCATCGTCAGTGATTATCACATCACAGTATTCGTTTTATTTTCTGCTATAAGTATCTTTTGTTTTGGGTTTCTCACAGAGACATTTAATTTCACATTGGTGGGTGGTGATGGTATCTGTTACTTTTTTCTGATTTTACCTACTTGCCGAGGAAAGTCTGAAAGTTTCCCTGACTATTGTTATTTAGATCGTAAATATCACAAAACTCGTCAATAAATAAAACATAGATGCCTAACTACATAGATTTTTTGATATTCCCAACCACTGCTGTGTAAAAATTTAGTGTTTTTCCAATTTACAAGTCATATCGCGAATCTGACTATAACTTTGTGTCATTGTATTATTTTTCAGTAGGAGTTCTGGTTAGACCACCTAAATGAGTCCTTCATATTGTATATTACTTTTTTCTTATCATTTTGTCATGAAAACACTGAACTGAACTATATTCCAATCCGAAGTTCAGTAAATGTACCCAAAAGCACGTGAAATAAATTTTTTATCAGGGCTACAATGAGGACAGAATACGAGTATTATTGCAATGTATTTAAATTAGAAACTCCAGAAATATGAATTTGCAATACCTCAATACCAACGGAAGTTGGAAAAAATTTATAAAAAATATCCTACAAGGTGACGTGAAAGTACACATATAATTAATCTAAAGGTATGAAATAAAGATTGAGATGTTTGTCAGGACTTTCTTCATTATGTTTATGAAAGATGTGCATATCACTAATTGCTGTATATTGTCTTTGAACATTTTTGAAGTTTCCATGACATGTAAATGTGTTTGTTGGTCGTTATGGTTCCATTCAATTCCTTGGGTTGAAAATTGATAATAAAGTCATTGAAAATGAATACGAAAATAGTTTTTGACCATACCATCAATAACATATTTATCATATTTTTCCAGTGCTCATTAACATCTGTTAATAGTTTCATTTTATTTAACGTTTTTTAAGTTGGATACATTTAGAATGCAGCCAGTCTTGGATATCAGATTTCCTTAATGCTATAGTTGAATTTTTTCCCACTTGCAATGGGGTATTATTTTCAAATAATTTTCTCGTGGTAATCTTCGGTCTTTTTGGAGTCAAAAGCCTACAGAGCCTCAAAACCTGACTGCAACCCCAAAATACTGTTCTTCATATGATATATCCAGTCACGAATCAATCATTCTGAATATATATCTAATATATAAATTACGTGTCACGTTATTTGTCCGCGATGGACTCCTAAACTACTCAACCGATTTTAATCAAATTTGCACACCGTGTGCAGTTTGATTCAACTTGAAAGAAAGGATAGCTTACATCCTAATTTATAGTCGCAATATTATTTTATTGCAAATTATTTGTCTATCATTTGACATTCACAATTATCTGTTAACTCCAAACGATTTTTACAGATGGCGATATCTGTTGACTGGATTGAGTAAGTAATCAATAGATGGCGCTGCTATGTTGAATTTACAAACGTGTCATACAAGATACAATTCAATAGCATAAGCACCCATATTGTTGGGGCTAAAGTATAAGTTAAATTTATGTCGTAGAAAACGAAATACCGTGATAATCAATTGTTTTCACTTTTTAACAATTACTAGATATTGGGAGCGATAAAATAGAACTACAACCAAATACGCAATGCATTTAACTGCCAGAAAATTTCTGCACTGTTCTTTAGGAAAAAAATGAATTGATTCAGAGTATTTTTCCGGATATACAGAATTATTACTTGAATCATAACTGGCTCAGTCATTGGGCGATTTTGGCAGCCAAAAATGTTGATGTTGACGAAATTAACTTCCAGATACAACAGTTGTTACCAGGCGATCTGATGTCTTTCAAATCAATCGATACTGTTGTTGATGAAAATGAAAGTGTAAATTTTCCAATTGAATTGTTGAATTCACTAAATATACCATAATCTTCGATTGAAGATTGGTTCCCCTATTATTCTCCAACGTAATTTGAATCCACCTCAATTATGCAAAGGTACGCGTTTGCTCATCAAAAAGATCACCGGAAATATTCTTGAAGCAACCATTTTAACTGGGAAGTTTAAAGGAAAAGTAGTCCTATTGCCACGTATTCCAATACCGTCAGATTCTACCATACCCTTCAGAAGGCTACAGACGCTGCGATCACACACTATTGTTTTATTTGCCACTTTCATTACAATTTCATTTTTGAGTAATACTGGATTTTGTTGAGTCTCATGTTTATTAATGATTGAAACCATTTTCTTGGTTTTCATATCGAAATGAGATTCTTCCAACCTTTTCCTAGGAGGGGACAAACAACATTCTGTAGACTCATCAGCTTTATTCATGGTAGACAGTTGGACTGAAACATTCGTAGGCGACAATTTTTTTTTTGATAATATTTCATTTTATTATTCAATATAGTTTTCTTCGAGAGCCATAAAACGATTATAGCGGTTATACAATTTTTCGATACCATTTTTATGGTACCATTTCTCTTTAGCCTCGAAATAGGCCTCAGTTGCGGGGCTGAATTTTTTTCCAGCGAACAGTCTCTTGAGGTCTGAGGACAAAAAAAAGTCGCTGGGGCCATATTTGGAGAATATGGTGGATGCGGAAGCAATTTGAAGCCCAATTCATGTAATTTTGCCTTTGTTTCAATTGATCTGTGACACGGTTCATTATCTTGATAAAAAAGCACTTTCTTTTTCTTCAAATGGGGCGTTTTTTCGCGATTTCGTGGTTCAAACGCTCCAATAACGGTTAGTAATAGTAGTCACTGTTGATGGTTTTTCCCTTTTCGAGCCTATGAATATTATATCATGCGCATCCCAAAATACTGATACCATAACCGTACAATCCGACTGTTACGTCTTCTCACGCTTTGGAGTTGGTTCAACACGTTTACTCCACTCAGCTAACGATCGTTTTGATTCTGGTGTGGAACGATAGAGCCATGTTCCATCTACTGTCACATATCGACGCATACATTCGGTTTTTTATGGTGAAACAGCTTCAAACACTACTCAGAATCATCAATTCGTGCCCAAATATTCAGGCACAATATGTCCAACATGTTCCTTTGATATCTTTAGAGCCTCAGCTACTTTGATTAACTTCACTTTGTAGTCATCCAAAATGATTTCGTAAACATTTTTGATGTTCTCATCGGTAACATCTTCTTTGGGGCGTCCACTTTGTGCATCGTCTTCTGTGCTAATTTTACCTCGTTCAAACCCAGAAAACCACTTCTCAACGATTGATTTTCCTAGTGCAATGCCCGAATGATGCTTATCAAGCCAAGCCTTGATTTCGATAGTGTAAGGCAATGCTTTATTAATACACGAAATTTCTTTTTATTCATTTTATTTAAAACAACAAAAGTTGCTCCACTCAAAATGTTCTATCACACAAACTAATAGTTCGACTAATAGTAAAATTTGTATACGTAGTAGCTTTTGAAGGTTGGGGTACACTAAAAATCATATGGACTCAATACTAGCATCGCCATCTGTGTGTTACCCAACGAACTATTATTGATTATATTAAACAAGTATTCAAGCAATATATCTAGAGTTTCGATGTATGCTCGAGGAGCAAACACACGGTTGTTTCAAAAGTTTTGTTATGACGTAGAAAATGATACGGACAGACGAATCAAAATTGACCAACAATGGTTGATTTCACAGAAATATATTATATAGGTAGAATGACACCTATGAACGTTCACATCGACTATAGAGGACTATAGAGGATACCCGGTGGTATCAATAAACAACTGTTCCTGTAACATATTTACTGGTTGTCTAATTTATTTTACCTCATATGTACTCTACTATTGTATATTATAAATATGTATATCCATATATTCAAATACTTTTCTTCTGTTTCAGTTGGACGGTCTACATCAATGTAAGTAAAATCATTATTTTCTGAGAGTTAGTGTTGGACTAATCATTACGTGAAATTTGGAAATGCGAATATTAACTTATACTTATACTTGACGGTAGAGGCATGTAATGAATATATTGGAAGTAAAGTACTCATAAAATTTAAAAATCATTGATCAATTCATAAAATTATCCCTTCTTCACCCAGATTATCGAAATTCACCGAAACCAAATGTTTAAAAAAATCCATATTGTTTAGGCTGTTCACATGACGATATAAATAACGTTATGGTTTCGAACAGAATAAAAAAAATATATCATTTTGAATTATTGCGAAAAAATACAAAAACAGGTCGATTTTTAATTCATGTATCATTTTGGCGCCCTTTTTGCGGGAAAAACCACTGTTTCGTATTTCAAATTATGACAAGTCATTTGGAAGATAATATGAATGTTTCAGAAAAAATAACAGAAAATGAAAGATTGAAGGTGATTGACAATGTTTCATAATGAATTTCATTAGTTCGGCCTTCCATTGTCTGATATTACATAAAATGATTTGAAATCCCTGAGAGAACTAAAAAAGAAGAATTAAAAATGAATAGCTGAAAATAACAATTATATTGAGGCAAAAAAACCTGAAATGAAATGAAATTCAAGTGAAAATAGAAAAATTGAACAGAAAATAAAAAACAAATGAAAAAAATTAAGAGATTCCAAGCCAAGTTACTTCACGACGTTTAGATTGTTGGTATCCATAATCGTCTTCTGGTGATGAGTGGACTGATTCCTCCGAGAGATGACTATTTATGGGTCATTCGAGTACTTTCACTTTCTCCGCGTTCCTTTTCCCGCTTCACTGGTTAAGTGGGTGATTACCGTTTGGCAAGACTTGGCCATTTTTTGCTTGATGATGGGTTTCCATATGTTGCGTATCTCTACGATAGCTTGGCTGAATACGTTGTTGGACAACATGTATGCGGCTTCTTTGAATTTTCTCCTAAACCAATGTTCCTCTATGTGAATGATCTCAACTTGTGACCAGTTGATGTTATGTTGATGAGTCCAAACATATTCTGCTATTCCTGATTTTCTGATTTCTCCTCTTTGTGTGTGTTTCTTGTGCTCCGCAATGCGAACATTCAATGGCCTCTTAGTTTTACCGATATAGGATTTTCAGCACTCACAGGGTATCAGTTAAATGCAATTCTTGTCATTACAGTCCGCATTTGCTAGCCTGGTTTTCGTGAGGCTGCTACGGATAGATGAATAGATAGAAAGATAGTGTTAGATAGATAGTTAGTGTTAGAGAGATAAATAGATAGTTTTTCCGGATCTAAAACAGGTTCTGATGTTGTACTTGGAACCAATTCTTCTTATCCTTTCCGATAGTCCTCTGATGTAGAAAAGTGCAAGCACTGGTTGTGACGGCTTCTCTTCCTAGCGAGGCTCCTGCTCTCTTTTGGCCAAAGTCTGTTCTACCGTAATTTAGAGCCCGAAAGCACGGTCTAATAGAGTTTTGATGATTTCTCTTTTAGTCAATTGATGGTAGTTGGATTTGTGGTTCAGATACTGTCCAATGTAAGTGGGTTTTCGGTATAGAGATGTTTCCCACTAAGTGTCGGTCCTCTTCTCCAATACGTCGAAGAATATCAATTCGTTGTGGACTTCATTCTCCACTGTGAAAGTGATGAAAGGCCTTACGCTGTTGATGCGTTTCAGGAAGGCGTCTAGTTCAGTATTCTCATGGTTCCTTATAATGAAGGTGACGTCAATGTATCTCAACCAGACACGAAGTTTTTTGTGGGTGATTGACAATGTTACATGATGAATTTCACCAGTCATCACCCGAAGACGATTGTAGATACTAACAATCGAAACGTCGTGAACTAACGTGGCTTGGAATCTCTCAACTTTTCATTTTTATTTTCATTTTTATTTCTTTAATTTTAATTTTTGTTCAATCGTTCTATTTTTACTTGTATATTATTTCACTATTATTTCATTTCAGGTTATTATTGCTTAATATAATTGTTATTTTCAGCTATTCATTTTCAATTCTTCTTTTTTAGTTGTTACAGGGATTTCAAATCACACAATTCACAATGGAGAAGGAAGTCGTTAACAAATTGCCATTCTTAGACGTATTGGTAAAGATGACCGACACTAAGTGGAAAATATATGTATACCGAAAATCCACTCACACGGGGCAGTATCTGAACCACGAATCCAACCACCATCAATCGATTGAAAGAGAAATCACCAAGACTCTATTAGACTGTGTTTGCGGAATCTGTAATACGAAGGAAGGTCTCGAAAAGGAACTAAACATCATTGAAAAGGAACTTCAACGGAATCATAAATAATAAAATTATGTCAATCAATAAATCCAGTTCCAAAATTTTTCGGAAAATATACTATGAAAATACAGTTCATTTGATTTGTCTATAAAATTTGATTGTTGGAGTTTGTCGATAGAGTTTCTCTTGATCGGACATAGACAAATCCATAAGAACGTTTTGCTGTCATAAAATCCAGTAAGAGAGTCGAAAGGTCATCATCTACCATTTGAAATGAAAAGTATTACAGACTCAAAAACATTCAGAAAACATGTGGAGGAACTTCCACTTACGAAAGCATATTATAGCTTGGAAGATTATTTTAAAGACATATTTTGAGTACCTGAACATTTGAGATTGAATCCACTGATTTATTTTATTTATACATGTGAACCAATGCTTAACTGCTTTTTAGAATCTCATGTCAAGCGTTAGACCTTGTATTGTTCCATTTTTACTTCAATTAATTTACTGTAAATTGACTGATTTATTTAATTTATTTATGCTCCGTCTATAAGTATTTTTTTTCTTCGACACTGAAGTACATTTTTTATTTAATTCATTTGATTTGATATTTTCCAAATTCAAACTGAAATTCTCACATATTCAACTAGATATCTTTCTTGTAGTTCATATTAAAAAGTTTATTCATAAACTCAGTATTGATATTCACTGCGTTTCTTCATAACTAAATGAGTATCAAAAAACAACACTGTAAAAACCTTGTTGGATAAATTTGCACCCTTATCCATACGTACATACAAAACAGAACCAAGGGAAAACAGACACGGATCGGTGTTCACGGTTACAGAAATTAATAAATATTTTCTGTTTTGGTCGTTCGTGACCATCGCACATTGTTCGAAGCAGTGATCATAAATTGTAATTACCAGCCGCAGAATTTTCAAGGTTGAATTATTCTATGTTAGGCTCATTCATCAGTATGAAATAGATTTATTATTTACCCTCGCGTGTGGAACAGCTGTGAAAGAATGGCCCATTGGTGGTTTTATTGGGCCACGAGGGCTCCCAGAAACTGCCTAACATATTTATGAATTTATACGGAATCATTACAATACTGAAAGTTGGATGAACATTAATACTGATGAGTTTGAAAAAAAAAGGAATATTGTTTTACCGAGTGAAGTGAATGGTACACAAATGTTGGGAAAAATATCGTTTTGACTTTTTCTTACCACCGATTTATAAAGACAGGTAAACTTTCAACATGGTTCGCAGGTTATTACTCCATTGCGAATTAGTACGGTGTACAAGTTGAACAAGAACAAGTGATTTTCATGTAATTCATAATCGGAAGTTGTTGTTTTCTATTGTATCTGGAAGAAAATGTACTCGACCTATTTACCTTTATGAGGAATATGTTTGACATATCTATTTTTCTGTGAGCTTCCTTTTATCGATCTTTTTGGAAATTTTCGCCATTCACAATCTGGAAAAATGAAAATTAGTAATGGTTTACTCCGATGAGTTACTGCGTGAAATCCATACATTTTTTCAAAAAACTTTCTGTTAATCGGTACTTGTCGTATCTGATAATGTGATAGGTAGAATCGGGATCTGTGGCGTAAAATCAATTTATCGAAAACACTTCTTCGACACCAGAACATAATTACCGTTTTTCCACGTGCGTTTCACTAACCAAGTGAGTACCATCAGAATATGACCAAAACTTACAGCTATGTTGATATTTCTATATACATCTGGATGAATCATCAATTACTGGTATGAATTATTGCTTCATTTTGATATTGATCCTTTCATCAACCATAATGTGGTTTGGCTTCCTACTTCTATATCATTGAACAAACAGCTTCATTTCAAAAAACTAACATTCTCCGAAAATATTCCCTTTTTAATTCAATTATGATATAATTGTCGCAGGTATTAACTAACAATAGTATTAACAACAAAATTGCACATTGGGTAATTCTAAAAATCAATTCAATCATCCTCATTTTGTAAGGTAATTGGTCGGTTGTGTATAAAAACATTACCATAGCTGCAAGATTGTGTTCTAATCACCTTCTGATGATGCTAACTTGGAGAAACGGTCGTCTAGAGACAGTATTCATAATTCGATGTTGGAAATTTATTTAAAATAAAATTGGCATATTTAGAAAAAAATAGCTCACAACTATTTAGGGTACTTATCTTGATGTTCCGATGACTTGTTGTAAGATTTTGTATCTGTATAGATTTCTATGTATTCTCAGATTCATATGAAGTTCTAATATCATAGATACTACGAATTCGTTCAACTCTTTCAGATATTGTCGGAATATGAGGTTGTTAAACTGAAGTACTCGTTGCTGCTTGTAGATCTGGTGGTTAAATGATTGTTCACTTCTCATTATATTCATTTCTCATTATATTCATTGTAGAATCTACAAAAAAAATTTAATGAGAGTTTATTATACATTTTTCTATACTTTCGAAGAAACGTGAGAATGAAACAATTTTAGAGAAGAAATCTGCATAATAGCAAATTTTTGATTATGGAGATGAGGATAGATTTAGGTCTCCAAAACGTCAAAGTTCCCTACAGAGTGTCAATTTGAAAACTTCCCACCTCTAATATCTTCCTTCCACTAAACAATATAAAGAATAAAAAAACAGGTCAATTTTATTGTCAAGGGAGACACTTTCAAGGAATATGTGTAGT